GACATAGTCATCCTTATTTTAACTTTAAGGGTACTATGAACAATGTACATCCTACATTGGCAGAGCTTTCAAAACTATCCATAGGTAGATACTAATTATTATTACAAACGTCACTGACTCTTGCACTCGTACTACATAGTGAGGCGACCGTAGACGAGTCTGTGAGTGACGCACTTGGCAGAGCATGAGGGTACTCTCTATTGGTTCACTACCGCCTGAATCTCATCCCAATCTACGGCTCTTTCATGTGGATCATGGGAGTAAGCATAGGCATCAACTATGTTGACCAGATTCCTCAGTCCTTGACCATGAGGTAAGAATCTTTCATCCAGATACAGGTCATATATCAGCTCGCACGTATAGCGCCCATACCCCCATTCTCGCACCCTCACTGCGGCCTCTGCTGCGGCCTCGACCCTCGCCTCTCCCCCAAAACCCTTTTTTATTAGGAATTCATGTAAGACAATTCGTAATGGAGTTGAAGGAAGTCCAAACTCGTCGGCACGCCTGACTTCTACATGGGTCTTCACCTGCTCTTCTTTTTCAAGGACTTTGTTACTCGCTCACTTTGCTGCAGCTCTCTCAGCTACCCTTAAAAGCTTCGTCATCAGGCTCTCATGCCCGAGCGCCAACTCAATCCCATGTAAGACCCAAAATGACGAAGAAGCATAAAGGGTCACCCTCACAATCGCGCAATCTTCATCATCATCAAAGTCGGACTCGATCCAAGCGAAAATACCCACGTTCATCAATGTGCCTCACCAGGAAGAGATATACTCTCCTTCCTTGACTCTCCTCAACAAGGATACCTCGAATCCATCTTCCTTTTTAGCGGGCAAGGCCGTATTAGGATCTTCTTTTGCATAAGGCATCCCGAGTTGCCTTTGCTCTGGTCTGGGTTCTGCCCATCATAGAAAAACGTCCAGCATAAGCCTTCCATTATTGTGCTGATAATCATACTCTACAATCTCTACCCATGAAGCCTCGGTTCCAGATCATCTTTCCCTAAAACGCGTCATTTCCAGTGTTTACGACCAGCCAGTTTTTAGAGAAAATAATAATGGTAATATATCATGATAATATTACATTCATGACTCTATATAAAAAGAAATCATAACTATAATACTCATGGAAAATGATATATTACCATACTAACTGACAATAATACTACTTATATAATTGCATCGACCGATCTTGGTAACGACTTCTCGTACGTCCCACTTGTACACACGTGTTTTTTCCTCATTATACGACAATGGGCGTGGTGGGGATGTCGACGCCAAGTCGGATCAGAGCAATCAGTCTATATGGCATATGCAAAACAAATTGCGCCTGTTACTTAACCCTTTATCCGATCGTGAGAATAATCATGCACAACACTATGCTTTCTCTTCCATGCATCATGCATCATACATTCATGTGAACATGTGCCATAGCAAAATCTTAACTCACTTTTGTCGTCGGAGCATTAACTCCATCGATATACACATGAAAGGGATCGCCCATGCACAAACCGTTATATACGAAGAAGTACAAAGAGGGGCGAAGTTAGATTATTTGAGTTTGCTGGTCTCTCAAATTCAATGATACTCATTCTCGCAAGATCTGATTAACTTCAGAGAGGCGACCAAGGCAGGATCTCGGGGGCTGGTAGGGACGTGAAACTTTTAAGCATTCACGACAAACATACACAAAGAGATAGAGAGAGAGAAGGTAAAGTCGGAGGAGGAGTACAAAGACGTAGCTTGACCGAAGAAGGGGGCTAGAGACAAAGAAAGAGTTATAAACACACAAAGAGATTTGATAACCAAAATCGCCAATCCGCCGTGAAGTTAGCTTCCAAAAATAAGAAGAATAAGAATTGAAGATCAAGGTGCGCCACCCTTTTGCTCTATAATTATGACCCCTGACCATGCAACCACTCATACTAACACCCTTCTTACTGATGATCCCGACCGCCATATACCAACCTCCATACCACAACGATCGTCACCCTGCCAACTCAACTTTTGCACCGACGTACCCAGATCCCGCAGTTCGTAGTGGTCACCCGACACACCGCCTTGCATACAATGCAGTCAACTCGTTAGGACTTTCTGACTCGCCGCATACACATCGCCTAACCATTGGCGGGTGGGTTGAGAGAGAGATTCTTGGATGCGCTTGTGGATCTTATAGTTGCGAAGAGGGAGATAGATGATGAGAGAGGACTGAGCGACGATAGAAGGGGACAAGGAGAGGATTTAGGGTAATCGCCTGAGGAAAGGCATATCAATCTTGCATGTTTCTTCGCAGCCAATCAGATTACTGTGTGTGTGGGAGCATCCTCCTTACACGTTGTTACCCGATAGCTCGAGTTTTCTCTGGAAGGGGGAGTCGGTAGGGAGTTCCTGTGTGGGGATAGCGGAAGGAGGGGGAAGCTTGCATGTATGGTGTCGGCACAATAATGAAAAGGCCCCAAGACAATTATGCTGCGTTCATCCTAGCTTCTACAACTAATTCAAAATTGAGAAATTCAAATATCATACCCGCGCGAGCGGTCGGACGCGGGAAAAATCCTACGCCTATTTAGATCCTATTGAAAATTCACAGGGCTTTCAAGGACGACTTTGGGAGCAATCACTTGCAAGAAAGGACACGTCAACAGGAAGTGCGTCCGCAAATTTTGGAGTCCCCAACTGTCGAACAAAATTCCTAGTGCGCTCGCTAAGGCGCACGTAATTTCTACGTGAATTTAGGAATCTGTGGAAAAGGAAACGACAAGGTTCTAAAACATGGGTGGGCCTCGCCGGCCATTGAGTCCAAGTATCATCCATTAACCTAAAAAGGAGGCCTCTAAGGCCTGTTAATTCGAACAACAAAATTCAAGGGTCCAGAATATTGTTCGGATACAGAAGCTGGTACGTCACAAACCTCCCTTCACCGAAGAGCGGTAGAAAGCTATGCTTGCAGGGGTCCCCTGTATAACCTTAAGAGTAGTGGTAGCTTCTGAAAAGAAAGATCTGTTCCATGAATGACATAGCAGAACGTCAGTTAGAATATATGTGAGGTGAGAGGTGTCCCTGCTGCTACCAGTAGGCCCCCAACGTTTTGGGTCATTGGGCCAGGCTTGGAACTTAGGGCTGCTATCTAGTGGATTCCCGTGTCTGTGTTCGCAGCCCAAAGGCTGTAGTGAAAGGGGACACCTTTCTCTCTCTCTCTAAAAAAAAAAAAGGAAACATAGGCCCTTAGGGCTGCATTCCCTGCCACCCTTTCGCTGTGTCCTTTGGGGCTTAGCCCACCGGACAAAATTTCATTGTCCTTCGGGGCTCAAAGAAGGAAATCCTGTGCTGATGGTGATGTGCCTAATGGTCTGATCGGGCTATATTTACTTCTCGCAAACCTTAGGAGGCTGCCTTAGCCTTCGCTTTCACTTCGCCCCCCAAAAAGATCCGGAGAGAGCGAAACCGGTCCAGGTGCAGACCACCTCCTAGACCAGCTGCGGCCTTCACTTCGCCCCCCCCAAAAAGTTCCTGACCGGGGTAGAGCGAAACTGGTCAAGGTGCAGACCGTCTCCTAGACGTCATACCTGTACCTGGAGAGTCGTGCAGCGGGCCTCAGGACTTCCAGAGTGGTCCGGTGGGCCAGGCCTAACTAGCGGGTCGCTCGTGCCTGTCGTCGCATGTCGCGTGCTAACAGATAACAGAACGCAGTGGGGACTACTACGCCTCATCACGGTGTTTGTCGGTGCAAAGGAGGCACGAATTCGGCCAGGAAACTGACCAAGTCCATGGGCTGTGCTCTGCAGCTTTCGCTATCATCCGCTCATCTGGATGCACAGAACGCATGAATCCCACTCGATATCGAGCCAGAAGCAGAGACATGCAGGCTGGTAGAGAAAGCCAGTGTGCTGTGCGGAACGCTCGACTTCGGTCTTTTTTTTTCTTTTTTTTTTCCCCGTTCTTCTTCCATTCTGTGTGGGACACGCTAAGCCATTTTTAACTGGGAGTGCGTATTGCACTGCCAAGTTGCACGTCATGACTGGACTTCTGGTCGGACGCTGCAAGTCCATACGTGGCCGGGGTGATCGCGTGTAACGAAGGGAAGAATGCAAGTGGGTTGGGAAGAATGCAAGTGGGTTTTCGGAAAGTTCGATTTGGATGTGCATGTTACAGGACGGGTGAATGAGGGTGGGGGACCTGGGATAGCAGGTGCGAACCGTGCGACAGAAGCGGGAACGGGTAAGGAGGGGGGAGGGAGGGAGGGAGGGGGAGGGAGGGGGAGGGAGGGGAGAGGGAGGAGGAGGTTCACGGAAACAGAAGGTGAACTCCCGAACAGCCGATTGGTTTGCATTGCGCCGGCTTCCCCCCCACTAACCCCAGCCTTCCCCAACCCCCGGAGGCTCGCCCCATCTGCCATCCCGTTCCATCCCGTATTATAGGTTACAGGTTGGCTGGAGGTGGGGGTGGGGGTGTGGTCCGGAAGGGAGCGGGAGGGCGAGCGAAACCACCTGTGCGGGGAGGGAAGTGTTTGGCGAGAGGCAGCGCGGCTTCCGCTGGTTTTGTCAAATCGTGTTCGTTCAGGCTACTACCGTAGTATAGTTGTCTGAAGATGACTCGTTTCTGGTCCAGATGCGTGATTGATGGTCTACCACAATCAGGGCCCATGGGTTCCAGACCCAAATAGTGGTAGCAGCGGCAGCAGTAGAGGTAGTGGTTGTCGAACGAAATGCTGCTGAGCTACGTTGTCCAGTCTTCTGGTGGGGGTGGGGGGGTGGGGGGGGGGGGRGAGGGTGGGTGCATCAGAGGATCAGGAGTCGTGGAGAAGTGCGTGCGGCTGTTCTAGCGCAGCGGCCGGGATTGACACCACACACATGACCATGGAGGTCGTACCATGCAAGGGCATTGGGGCGGAGCCAGTTCGAGCCCACCGGAGCCCCGTCCCTCCCCGTGCATCCCCGCCCCGCCCCGCCCGTTCCGCCCGTTCCCGCCGAGTCCCCCGGGACAACGGAGTGGAGCCGAGGCGATTTCTTCGGCCGCGGATGCAGTGAGCGAGTGAGCGTACTGCTCGCTCACTACCAGATACACGATCGATAGCTACTATTGCGGTCTGTTCCTACCATTGCAGGAGTTTGCTCCCCGTCTCTCCCTGAGGTTGAGTGCGGGTCGGGCTGTGTGGTGGTGATGTGTGTGTGCTGCTTTCCCTGTCCTTGCTCTCCTTCTCTCTTTCCCTCGCTTCTCCTTCTCCCTCTCCCTCTCTCTCTTCGATTGGCTTGATTTCTTTCGTGCACGCCACTGGCTCATTCCCCGTCGTGCTTGCGTCCGTCGGACGTCCGCGCTTGGTCGTTGTTTTCACCAGAGAGCTTTCAACGAAGATTTAGCCGATTGACGGACGTTACGTCCCTACAGCGGGCTGAGACGGGGCTTGTGTAGGACGCGGTGGTCCCCACTACGGCCGTTAAACGTCAGCAGGACGAAGGGGAGGTGGGAGCAGGGACGGGGGCCAGGCAGGGACTAGCTAGAGAAGTCGGGTTGGTGGGGTGGGGAGGGGTGGGGCACCCATGCGCATGTAGTATCATGCTGGGCTCCTGATCCGTCTGAAAACAGGGGTAACGTTATTGCTGTGAGAGGGAGGAGGCTAGGTGAGTGACTCGGGGGCACTGAGGCGTATGCACGTGGCACGCTCACAGTACGGCACAGCACAGAACGGATTGGCGCTTGACCGCAGCTGTGAACGTGTGGTGTTCTTTAGTCCGACCGGTTGCACGTCCACCTGCGCTTGTTCCCATTTACGTCGACTTGCTGCCTTTACTTCGTCCTCCTCCGTCTCTCGAATTCTCTTTATGTGTCTTGTTTTTGGCCCCAACTGCAGGTTCTTCATCTTCCCCGACCGGTCGCCCACAATTCTGTCCACCCGTAAGCATAAAGGCACAGACACTCGCAGACAGAGACGCAGGCACACAAACGTACAGAGACACACGTGCACACGTGCACACGAACTTATACACAAATACACACATACACGCATACACATACACGTACACGTACATACAGGAGAAGACACGCACGCATACACACAGACACACACACAGAGAGAGAGAGAGAGAGAGAGAGAGAGAGAGAGAGAGAGAGAGAGAGAGAGAGAGAGAGAGAGAGAGAGNGAGAGAGAGAGAGAGAGAGAGAGAGAGAGAGAGAGAGGAGGGGGGGGGGGGGAGATGGCGTAAAGATATGGAAAGGAAGATCGGTTGACGAAGTTGATGCCTCTCCGCTCGATTAGGGGGCGAGGAATTTTATGGAAACGCGAAGTCGAAAGCGGCCTGAGGGCACCAGCGGGACAGAAGGAGGGCCACTGACGAGGAGGAGATTGTCTCGGTCAAGGCCGCCACCAGCAAACCCTACGCCTGCCGTACCTTCGAAGCGTGCACGACTTTCTGGTTCTGCTGCTGCTGCTGCTGCTGCTGCTGCCACTGCCGCAACGAAGCAGACAGGCGGCGGGACCCGACAAGCGACCAAGGCATCAACAGGGGGAGGCGCAGGGGGGGGGGGGGGGGGGGGAGGAGGCGGGAACACGGCGTCGGCTGCTGCGGGTTGTCCTGGGGCCACCGTGGGCGCGGAACAAGATCCCGCCACCCTGAATAATACCACCAATCCCTCTGTTGTGGGAAATAAGGCTGTGCTTGGCGGCGGGGGTCTAATGGAGTCCGAATCGGATGGCGCGTCGCCGGCCGGGGAGAGGGAGAGAGAACGGGAGAAGGATCGTTCGAGGGACCTTCGTGCCAGGGCCTCTGCTGTTGCGGCCTCCGGCGGAGCGGGAGCTGGCGGCGGTGACGATGAGAACGACCCCGACGCCCTCCATCATAATCTCACCTCTGCGAGCAGCGCTTTACACGGTCTTCTGCGTAAGCTGGGCGCAGGGCTCGACGACCTGTTGCCCTCGGCTTCTGCCAGCATGCAGAACAGCCGCTTGAAAGGGATCCTTGCCGGATTGCGCGCCGATGGAGAGGAGGGCAGGCAGCTAGAATCGCTGTCTCAGCTCTGTGAACTTTTGTCAATCGGCACGGAAGATTCGCTGAGCACTTTCTCCGTCGACGCCTTTGTTCCGGTGCTTGTCGGGCTGTTGAATTGCGAGTACAATCCGGACATCATGTTGTTGGCAGCGCGGGCTCTCACGCACCTAACGGACGTCTTGCCCTCGTCCTGTGCGGCCGTAGTGCATTATGGCGCCGTGCCTTGTTTCTGCGCCAGGCTACTAACCATTGAATACATCGATCTCGCCGAACAGGTATCGTATATATATAACTATCTCCTCCTCGCCCTTTTCCTGTCGCTCTCCTCTTCTGCCTTGCTTTCCCCTCCCCTCCTTCCTTGCATTCTCTCGCTGGCCCATTCTTTCCTCTCTTCTTCTCTGATTACCGCCTGCTATGCACATCGCTGCGTTTCGGATCCCTGCGGGTGGAGGCGATCACCACAGGAAAGACCCGTGCATGTTCACCTCCCGCCGTTCCATTTCCCCACTTCTGCTCACCCGGTATTCGCCTTGCGTTCCGGGAAATGCATGTGCGCGCGCGTGAGAGAGAGAGAGAGAGAGAGAGAGAGAGAGAGAGAGAGAGAGAGAGAGAGAGAGAGAGAGAGAGAGAGGTGCTTGAGCATGTGAACGTTTGTGGTTGAGACTTGTAAGCGCGCGCGTGTATGTGTAGTGTGTGTGGGTGGGTGTGTGGGTGGGTGTGGGTGCTTGAGCATGTGAACGTTTATGTGGTTGAGACTGTGTAAGCGCGCGCGTGTATGTGTAGTGTGTGTGTGTGTGTGTGTGTGTGTGTGAGAGAGAGAGAGAGA